TTTCACTCTACGACTTCACATTTTTACTAAAAAGTGATGTGTATTGAAATAAGATAAACAAATGATAAATGCAAAGAATGAATATAACTCAAGTTAAGCTTGAGGAGTTTGCTTATGGGTTTTGGCTCTATTAGTGATTAGTTGAACATTTTCACCTTTATTTATGTGGGTAGAGGTTCGAAACTCTTATATGCCCGATGAATATTTGTGTAAACTCAATTGCTTGTACTGAAAAAAATTACGTTCTCTGAATTTTTAAATTAATTATCTTATGGATTTTTAAGCACACTTACGCACAACACAATATGTAAAGATAAACTATTAATGGGGCAGGGCATATGAACCCTAAACCCTTCACAATAGATGGGCATTGGACTCGACTATTGCTTTTTTTTTATTTATCAAAGACTCAATAATTCTCTCTTTGTTCTTGTACAAAAAAAAAAAAGGCTCCTTCTTTGTTCCTCAGGAACAGAAAGAAGCAGCTTCATGACTACAAGCTGAGCTCAAATCTCACCGAATTGCATAGTTCGTCTTAAAATTCGAAATTGGAATCGGAGAATTAGGGCTACTGCTTCAAGCTTCAGGCTGAAACTGGACTTCGGGTAAGTAGATTTGGTACTGACCTTCAGCTACATCTCTAAGAGCAATTTGGACTTTGAATTTCTAAACCCTTAGTCTCTTACAGATGTGATATCGGGGCAGCGTGGATTGGGCATTGGACATTCGGATGGGCCACTGTCAAAATCTGAGCTTGTTGCTCCTTCGATATGTAAATGCTATTTCTGTGAACTGAAGGCAATTGGGTGTGGTCAGTTGAAGTTCACCAGAAAGAACTATTGTACAAGGTAATATTTCAATTTATCCAATGTAGTTTTACTCTCATGAAGTCCCCTGTTTTAAAGAAATTTAACGACTTTCTTCATGCATTATCCGGAGAACTAAGTATGAATACTATCTGAAGTATAATTATCCAAGTGGAGAAATGGAGAAATAATTTGAACCAATTTGATACTTCTGGAGGCAGCTCAATTTTTCTTGGTCAAAGTTTACATTTTTGTATCTGCTTGATTTGCTTGTCTTACAAACAAAATTATGCAGTAAGGCTAAAGCCATACCAGAGGCAATATATCATTGTGAAAAGGGACCAATCCAATCCATATTTAGTTGTCAGGAAAGAAAGAGGTTAATCAACTATATTTGCCAGTTTCTGTTGGACATAGAGTAAATTAATATTTTTCTTCTTTTTACTTTTATTTTTTTTGTTTTTGCAATGTTCAATGTTTAATCCATGTAACAATGCAGGCCCATGGAAAGGGAGGATGATGATTTTGGTAGTCTTCATGAGGATAGCATGGATGTTGGACTTCAAGCAACAAATAGGTTGGACTTGAATGTAGAGCAGGACTCCCGCAGCCCAAAAGTTGTCTATGTCAACGGCACTCAGTCTAATCCTCCCTCCATAGGCGCAGACAGTAAAGATTCAGTCTTAGAAGTTGGTACAGAGTTCGAGTCTGATGAACATGCCTACAAGTCTTACAATAAATATGCCAGGTTGGTGGGTTTTAATGTTAGGAAAGACTGGGTAAATAGGAGTAAGGTACATGGTCAGGTGGTTTCTAGGAAGTTCACTTGTTCTAAAGAGGGGTATCGGCGGAAAGACAAAAGAGATGTTAATGTAAAGAAACATCGAAAGGAAACAAGAACTGGTTGCTTGGCGCATATGATCATCACCCGTCAACCTGATGGTAAATATCGGGTTACACAATTTGAAGAACAACACAATCATGGCAATGTAAATTCAAGTATTCCTCAAGCATTACCAGAACAACACAATCATGACAATGTAATTCTAAGTATTGCTCAAGCATTACCACTACAAAGAGAATGCACTGTTCCTGAAGCTGCTGATGCTGACTCGGTAAACGAGTTAGGATCATTGTCAAAATCGGCACTGGACTCGATGAATAGAGGGTTTAGGGTAAGGGAATCTGTTGATAGTTTTGCCTTAGATTTTGAAAATTATCTTCAATCTGAAAGGACTCGAGATATGAAGGAAGGAGAGGTGGGACGTTTGCTGTATTACTTTCAAAGGCAGCACTTTGAAAACCCATCGTTCTTTTACGCAATACAGGTTGATACTGATGATAAAGTGAGTAACATACTTTGGGCTGATGATAATATGGTGTCAGATTATGACCATTTTGGGGATGTGGTTTGTCTAGACACGCTTTGCAGAGCAGACAAGAATTGCCTGCCATTTGTACAGTTTGTAGGAGTAAATAATCATAAACAGGCAGTTATCTTTTCTGCCGCACTGTTGTATGATGACACTGTTCAATCTTATAAGTGGCTATTTCAGACTTTTTTGGAGTCGATGTCTGGGAAGAAACCAAAGGCCATTCATACTGATCAAGATGCAGCAATTGTTGAGGCAAGCAATTCAGTTTTACCTGAAACAGACCATCGGATATGCACATGGCAAATGTGCGAGAATGCTCTCAAGCACCTTAACCACATGGTAAAAGATACCGAATCTTTTGCCAATGATTTCAAGAGCTGTATATATGACCAAAAAGATGAGGATGGGTTTGTGTATGCTTGGGGGAATATGCTGGATAATTATGGTCTTCAGCAGAATGACCGGTTAAAATGGATGTTTAGGGAACGAGAGAAATGGGCTGTGGTATACGGGAGGAATACTTTTTTTGTTGACAGAAAAGGCTCACATCTGGTTGAAAGTTTGTTTCATGATTTGAGAAATTACCTGTACTCTGACCTTGATGTGCTTGATTTTGTTAAGTATTTCAAAAGGGTGGTAGATGAGCAACGTTACAAAGAAACAGAAGCCAATGATGAAATGAACCGCTGCATGCCAAGACTAATGGGGAATGTGATTTTACTAAAGCATGCAAGTGATGTTTACACTCCAAGGGCATTTGAAGTATTCCAGCGAGGATATGAGAAGTGTTTGAATATTGTTGTTAACCAATGCAGTGAGAATGGGCCATTGTTTGAGTACAAAACCAACATATTTGGTAAAAGTAGAGAACACACCGTTACGTTCAACTCTTCTGATGACACAGTTATTTGCAGCTGTAAGAAATTTGACTCTGTTGGGTTTCTATGTAGCCATGCTCTTAAAGTACTTGATCACATGAATATAAAGGTTGTCCCTTCCAAATATATCTTGAAGAGATGGACAAAAGATGCAAGGTTAGGGAGTGCAAGAGAGAGTGATGTGTCCTCCATCAGGGATAACCCTAAGCTTGTTGTGGCAAGCCGTTACAAAAATATGTGCGGCCGAATTGTTATGTTATCAGCCAAGGCTTCTGAATCCGAGGAAGCATTTCAATTTGCTGTTGGACAACTTGATGAAGTGATGGAAGGTGTGGAGAAAATCTTGACATTAAAACCTCAGGATGCTCAAGCTTTCACCTCAAGTAGCACCGCAAATGCTTCTGATAGTGAACGTGCAGTGATTTTTCGAGATGGAAATGCAATTGAAGATCAGGATGACAATGTAGTAAAAGGAGCAAAGGAAAAAGAGACGGCCGTTTTTGACAATGGTCAATTAACAAATGTGAATGGTGAATTATCTAGTACAAAAAGAATTCTGAATGTAGATACATCCCTACAAAACACTGATTCCTGCATTTCAAGTCCGTCATTGTATGTTTCACCAGAAGGGACAACAGCAAATCCCATTATGCAGGTGAGTCCTGGCTTGCATGTTATTGCAATTATGGCATTGTAGAGATGCCATGACATGCAACTGTCGTGTTTGCTTTGCTTTGCTCTGATATTAAATATGTAAAGTTTTGATTCTTTCTGTTCTTTTCTTTGTGGCCGGTTTTGATCGTTCCATGTTCATAACACAGGGTTTATACAATTTTGAAGCGAATCAGGTGGATCAGTGTTTGTACCAACAAGATAATCTGGTGATGGAAGAGCAAACCAATCCTAACATGTATCAACCACTCGACTTCTTTTCTAACCAACACGATTCACCTGGCCATTCTCAACTACTGCAGGTAGATCTTGTACACACTCAGCTGTTCATCTTATTCTGAGCTATTGTTGTATGTGAGTTGTATACTCATTGACATGCAGGAACCTCTGATCAATGGCACATACCAAGAGGTCGTATCAAGCACCCCTGAATTGAGGCAGGTAATTAGAAGTAAAAGTCAAAGACTTGAATAAATTGATTCGTAAGTTTGTTGTTTAAATCATAACAAGTATATGGATGGTAATTATTTTGCTTCATGGTTTCCTGTAGGCAATGGATCTCGATGTCCAACATGCACATTCATCTTCATTCTTGCTTTTGGATCGTGGATAGAGAACTTCTGACAGTCCATTTCTTGTGCTCAAGTAAAGGTGAACGACCATTGAAAGTCTCTCTCTCTCTCTCAAAGAATGTATGTTAAATGTATACTGTACAGTCTCAAAAGCCTATTGTTTTTTATTTTGAAATGCAATACTGGAGTGTGAAGAGGCACTCTTGATGTCATATAAAAATGCATTTGATATCTGCACCACCTGGTCAACTCCCATTTTTACAACACAAAATGAAGTTTATAACTTGAACTTGATATACAGAAAACCCAAGTTGTATATATGAACTTGGCAGGGCTTCAATGGAGGCAACCTTTGGTCCTTGAAGGAGAAGCTTGAAAAGCATCCATATGCTCAGGGACCTCAAAAGTCAAGACAACCTTACTCCATATTGTAACAAATGGAAGAGAACCACAACCACTGTAGGTTGCTGCGCTTGATCTGTTGATCCAAGATAAACCTAACATTGTCAATTGCTAACCACAGTAAATTCTACAATTACAATTATAGCTGTGACCACCCCCCCGAACAAGGAATATGGGAAAGCATTTCAATGCGCGGGTCCTACTCGTCAACCACACAACTGTGCGACAAAGCTCATCTTTGTCTCTTTAAAATTAAAAATTCCCCAAACTTAAACTCACTCACTACATAATAAATCTTACTTTCATCTCTATCACTCACTCACTTGTCACCACAACAAACACACACTCGCTGGCACTGCCTGCCTAGTGCCTTCTCTATCTCTCTCTCTCTCTCTCCCACAAAGTCCCCAACTTTGTTTTCTGTCTGTTTCTTCTACTTAGAACGGCCCATTCCCCAGCAATGAGACATGGGCTTTTTCCGGCGACTCTTCGGCCCTAAAAGACCCAAAAACACCACTTCGCCGACGGCCAACCACAACAAGAAGGAAAATAGGACTACTTCTGCCTCTAACAAACAAAAGCTCAGCACCGCCTCCACATCATCATCTGCTCAAGAATGGGTAGGATTGGACGCCAACAAGCACGCCATAGCTGTAGCCGCTGCTACGGCTGCTGTAGCTGAGGCCGCTCTCGCGGCGGCTCATGCGGCGGCCGAGGTCGTTCGCCTCACTAATGGCGCTGGACCCGGCACTTCCGAGCACGTTAGCTTACCCGTGGCGGCGTCGGCTAGCGTCAGCCGCCATCTGGCTGCCGTAAAGATACAGTCTGCTTTCCGGAGATACCTGGTTAGCGGTTTGTTTTGAATTGTTTGCCGTTTCTGCCCTGGATTTTAGCTGAAATTACGTTTCGTGATGCTTTGTTAATTGGTTCGGAAGTACAAAAAAGTTTCGAACTTTAAAGCATGATTATGTTTGGTTTCACTTTTTATTTTAAAATTTTGAATTTCTTTCCCTATAAAATTCTGTTTGCTCGCAAATTACAAGGAAGGGGGAAATTAAATTAATTTGGGATTTCAAATTCTACCTTCCTCTTCTTCTCTTTCTCTGTCGAAAAAGTTTCTCGGGAAACAAACATGGGCTTAAAAAGAAAGGCTGTATTTGAAGCTTCATAAAAAGTACTGTTCATAAACATAGTTTTTCACAAAATAAAACAAGGAATTAAAAATAAAAATTAGAAGACCGCCGACACTGGTGCCAGTTGATGTGTCAACTTGCTGAGTCAGTGTCAGCGTCTGGGAGAAGCGATTCTCTGTGTTATCAACAGCATGTTTACTGTACTTTGACAACCAGTGGTTTCGTACGTGTATTCCGTACTTGACGACTTCCGGAGTCTTCTTCCTTCGTATACCTCTTACATAGAGGTTATTTTCGTATTTTCGTACCCATAGACTCGAATTTGTATGATGACGTGGGTGCAACTAATTTGGTAGAAATTTGACCTCTGTGTCTCTGACTACAAGCAAGCACAACCCACTGGTTTCCAGCTTGGCTGTTGGGGCCTGTTGCCTCTCTTGGTGATATGATTGGGTTCTACTTGCAAGAAAACTGCTCCTGCTCTCTTACTTTCTTTCTTTGCTTTCCCTTTTTCACTTCCAAGTTCAAATTCAAATTCAAATTAGTGCAGCTTGTTTTGTGGTTGGTTGTCTATAATGAGTAGTTGTTCTGTTTGAGCTGTGATTGTCTTTGGCAGTCTTTGATTAATTAAATAACTGGATGAAATGGCAATTGGGATGCTGTTCAATTAATTTTTGACTTTATTTTATGCCGGAAACGAGTTTTTATATCCTTGTTCTTTCTTTTATTTGTTTATTCAGTAGGGATGACTGTGTGAGTGAGATCATGATTTCATCCACAAGCCTCTCCCTTTTCTAAAAGTTTTGTGCCAGTCTGTTCCCTCTAATTTTAAATTCCTGGGCTCTGGTTGCATTTCACAAGAAATATTGTCATAGTTAAGAAAACTGTAATTGTTATGCACACTTGTTTCATCCATTTGATTTGTACTGAATTATGTTGGTTAGTATTCTGAGATGTCGATGACCTGATTCTCTAAACTTTGGCGAACCATGACAGGCAAGGAGGGCCTTAAGGGCACTTAAAGCACTGGTGAAGCTTCAAGCTTTGGTGAGAGGCCACATAGTGAGAAAACAATCGGCAGACATGCTCAGGCGTATGCAGACACTGGTCCGAGTACAAGCCCGAGCACGTGCAAGTCGAACACTCATGTCAGACTCACTACATTCTAGCAGAAAATCCTCCCTATCTCACCACCCTGTAAGCAGACCTTTCCTTTTAAATCAAGCTTACTAGTTTCCATTTTCTAGTCAAATACGAGGGGTAAAAACACACTCTGTGCCAGGTTGGGTTTGTATGCCATACTCTTAGTATTGATAATTCTCAACTTTTTACCTGGTTAGCTAAATTTTCTCGGGACAAATTTGTTTTACTATTTACTTTGTTGAGTCCAACTTTGCTTACTTTTACATAATTGGTATTCATTTTCTATGATGTCTACTTGCAGCTCCCAGAAAGTCCTGAAAAAATTGGATACCAACCCCGTGCTTGTAGCAGCAAATTTGATGGACCCTCAATACTGAAGGTATTTACTTCAATGGCTGTGTAGATATTTGATTAACCACTCCTACTGCATATGATGCTTTACTTGTGGATGATATTCTGTAGCAAGTTTGAAACCGGGTCACAAATTATTTTTAATGGAAGCTAGAGAATGTTACTGTCAAAATTTGATCCCAAGACATTGTTGAACCTGTTTTCTGGAGTACTGATCTTTATTTTATTCATAAAAAGCAATGGATATTAATCAAATTCCTCTGTTCCATCAAACTCAGAGATGCGGTTCAAATTCAAACGTAAGGGATGTCGTAAATCTAGACAGAAGACGGCTGGCGTCAGGTTGGTTAGACCGGTGGATGGAAGAAAGTGCGCGGAACAATCGCCGAGATGCTTCACTGATATATGAGCAAGCAGATGACGTAAAGGGTGACAAGATACTCGAAGTAGATACTTGGAAGCCTCACTTGGGCTCCCAACGTAAACCCCAAACCTTTCAAACAGCACATCATGTTCTGACTTCAGATCGTTACAACCCAACCTTCACGACATTTGAATCTCCATCAAAACATTCGATGAAAGAACACAACCCGATTCCAAACCAAGCCTCTATGGACGTCTTATCACTGAGCTCTCTGAAATATGCTATAGCAACAGATGAAGCAGCTTTTAGGAATGCTGAGAACAGCCCACAAGCATTTTCTGCCTCCTCTAGACCTGGAAGTAGTGGTAGAAGAGGTCATCACTTCACGCCAGCAAGGAGTGAATGCTCGTGGGGTTTCTTTAATGGGTATGCAGGTTACCCCAACTACATGGCTAACACGGAATCATCCCGAGCTAAGGTCAGGTCACAGAGTGCCCCAAGGCAAAGGCTTGAGTTTGAGAAATATGGTTTGACCAAAAAGTCGGTTCAGGAGTTTTGGGATGCAGGAACTTGTTCAGATACTAGTTTGGCTCAAGATTCCGACTGCCGGAATAAATCAATTTTTAGCTCTAGCCGCTTGAACAGACTTGGGAGTGCCAGTCCACGGTGATGTTCCATGTTCTATGTATTTATTTGTGTGTATGGCAGGCGATGTTTTGAGTTTTAATTACTTGACCCTGAATCCTTGATGTACAAAGCTGTTCTTAGGAAATCAAAGTTTGGCACCATGGGTGTCAAAAGATGAACATAGTTTCAAAGTGTGAGTGGCCCCTTCATGGATTCAAACTCAGTAAAAATGTAATTTCGATTGTGCTTTGTTTACGTATCAAACTTTGGTTCTAGTATTCTTTGTACATTTTTTATGAGTCGCTAGAGTTAGCAATTGCAATCACATCCCACCGAGTCATTTTCAACAACATTCTTTTTCCAATTCTCATTCACGGGATAAGATCTTTTCACTTAATTGGCGGTGGCTTTTGTGGATTTGGACAAAACCACGAGAAGGCACTTTTGATACACACATTTACCACCAAAATCAAATCAACTGCTAACTGCATGCATTGGATCCCAACCACGGTCATTATTGAAATTGGTTGTGAAATTTTGGATTATGTAGCAAAGCCTCTCTTTTTGGGTCATCATGTACCCAATTTTGGCTGCTAGCACTTTTACATGGCAAGCAAAAGCATTAAAACTTTTTGATGCAGTAATCAAATCTTTATAGGGCAACTTTAAATGACCTAAAGTTGGATGGCTGTAATCATTTCAGTTAGCAATCATGTTACCATATTTGAATTATTAACCATTTTACCTTAAAAGCAACAATTTAACTAGCTAGCTAAGTGTCGTCTAACATAATAATTTCCATAATTTGTACAATCAGATCATCAATTATTAGATTTTCTTCAACCCAAAACTCGAACCTCCCTCTGCCGTGCAGCTGAACACATGAGATTGTTTATTTCTTCTTCCATTTCGCTAATTTTCTGGAACCTACTCATATTAAAGTTGCATACCCAAACTCATAGGATTCTGCAGCATCACAAACCAAAACCGTAAACATTGGTCAGAAAAAGACAGTGAGGCTGTAATGAGGGTTTATAGTGAGGGGATTCTTAACAACCATTCCATCAACAAATTCCTCGACGTTGGACGGTTGGATTGAACCCCTCAACATAACCTCATCATTGTATAAGCTCCCCGGAAGAGGGAATAAAAATAAAAATAAAAAGCCAAAGAAACTTACAAGTTGCAATCAGTGTTAGGATCGATGTTGAAGCCCAAAGAAACTTGACAAAAGTCGGGTAGAGTAGCAATCGCATAAACATTTGGGTTGTATGTGGAAATGAGGCCCAATAAGCATCTACATGCAAATCTCCGATTCTCAATTGTGTCAGCAATAACCTTGAGATTGGCCATGGCATTGCAACATGGAGACCCCGGGAAAGGGTCTGGTGAGCCATACGTGATGAAGGTGTAGCAAGTGGAGACCAGTGCCGTCACGGCGGAGCATTCTATGGTGCTAGACACCAATGTCGACGTCGATAACAACACCATTATTGTTACTCCGATCATCAACTTCCGGCTTCCCATTTCGCAAAATTACATCAACTTACACCTTACTAGTTGTAACTTGTTCTGGTTTACCCAACAGCAACACCTATTTTTTATAGTGATGGTATAGTTGGGTTGGTGTAAAATAAATAACGTGTGGTCTTCTTCATGAAGGTTGAATGACCCATACAACTGTTGACCCAAAAAAAAATTGAAGTCAGACAACTAAACTGAACCCGTATCCACTATCTAGTTAGAAGAAATAAGGCCTGCTGCTTGAATGGGCTAACCCAGACCTAGTTTATTTTGTTTGTATAAATTGGTACTGAGGAACAACATTGTCAACTTGGTTTCGTGGTGTAGTTGGTTATCACGTCAGTCTAACACACTGAAGGTCTCCGGTTCGAACCCGGGCGAAGCCATTCATTTCAATTCTTTTTGGCACTTTGCATAAATTTCTTTTTCCCTATTTCTTATTGGGTTTACAAGCAAGATAACGATTTAGTACTGAACTCAACATTGACAAAACCAATCGAATGAAGAATGATTGCAATTACATATAGCAACATATCAAACATGCAAAAATTTGAGCATTCCAAAACCCAGTAACAATACAGCAATTGCCTATACAGTAACAGGTAGAGCAAACCAGTTTGTAAAACAACTAAACATTAACATAGTAGAAAAAGAACATATCCCTTCTATTTTTTTTAAAATTTGAAGTGTCTGCTTTGAGTGTTAATTTTCTTCACAATGCCATCTAGATGTAGGGACACAGCTGAGGTAGTGACACCAACGACAATGGTCATTCCCATTCTCTCCGCGGAAGAGCATCACCAATGCAACTGTAAACCTGCATATGATCAAAATAACAAGCTCTTAAAATAACTGCAACCAGTTTGATTTGAATAGAAACAAACAACCACTCAGAACGATTAGGGTAAATAACTTGCCCAACAATCAGCAGAACAAGAGAAAGAAGCCATAGCATATATTGGTAAGCCTTGTATTTGGACTTGACATTGACACGAGCAGGAATATTTGGTTGCTCCAACCACCCAAACCGAGGACGGGGCATCAAGACAAAGCCGATGAGGAAACCAGTAAGAAACCCACCAATGTGGGCAAAATTATCAACATGTGGCAAAATTCCAATGCCAAGGTTAATGGCAATAATGACCAAAAGGGTGAGGAGGGCTGCAACCTATGGAGGCAATCAAATCAAGAGTGAATTAGTAAACATTATTTATTCAATACTGGGGGCAGTATCTTCTTGCTGCTAAGATTGAAATGTATAGCCTCATAACAGATAGCAAACAGCAGCAAATATTTAATCTGGTTCTACCATAATGGTTAACAGCATCAGCATTTTTCTTTTCTTGAAAGCATTGCTTACCTTATTGGTATAAATAGTCCAATTGGTAATTAGTTCTGAAAGCATTGCTCCAAGAAGCCCAAAAAGAGCACCAGAGGCACCAACAGAGATGTTCTTTCGAATGAAAAGGGACGAAAGTATGCTCCCTCCAAATCCAGACAACATGTATATAATTCCAACTCGCACTGCCAATTGTAACAACTCTTGAGTCTACTTGGATATAATGAGATTCTCTCTCCCAAACACACATTTAAAACTAAGATTATGTGTGATGCTTAGTAACCAAAATCAAATAATAATTAATAAGATCAGATTGTACACACAAAAGGTACAAGAATATATATTCATAGTCAAAGTAATACACTGAGCTCCAGCATCATTTAGAAACAGGAAGAGAAACATACCAAAACCAAATTGCTGTTCTATACGAATGCCAATGAACACCAGGCTCAGCATGTTAGCAACCAGGTGGATTGCGCCAGCATGCAACCAAATACAAGTGAAAAGCCTCCATCCCTGATGCTTATGCACAACTTTGGCCCAATCTAAAGCACCCATCTTCTCTAATCTTCAAAATCATGACAAGGTTATGCATTGTTCAAATTGCAATAGGTTTCGAAGGAGGGGGAGGATAAAAAAACACAAACAGTAAGAGAAAGGGCAATCTGTCATAATAAGGTGGGTCAATGAAAAAGACCCACTTTCAGCGTAGTTTAAGTATTTGTTGCAAAAACATTTAAACATGTTACAAGAATAAGAAAGCCCGAGACTTTGGATGTTTGAAAGCTTTTCCGTTAGCTTGCACAAGCACTATGTTTAGTATCCAGTGGCTATTCTTTTGAGACAAAAAAGCTTTCAGCTCATACAGTTTGCTAGAACTTGTTACGACCCTTCAAGGATTGTACTTGTTTTCTTAGGGGATTCTCAGCATTGATACTATCTCAAGATGCAATCTGCCTAAGAGAACCCACCAAACAAAAGCAACCTAAGAGCTTCCTCTTCTTATATGCAGAGTAACCGGAATTCGTAGTGTCTCAGAAACTCAATCTCAATCATAATTATCAGGATATGCAATCAAACACAAGCTCTAGCTATAAAGGAACTAAATTTGCACTAATCTAATACCATTAATATATCCTTGTTATCAAAATTAGACATTCAATGGATCCTAGTTTCACTATCAAGCTAATGCAGTAACTACAATTCAAATCATTTTCTAAGTGAAACAAAGAAGTAAGAATTCGAAGGCTGAAAGTAGCAATAAAGTAATCAAATCACAAGTGCCCAGAAAACTTAACCACCAACATATATCAAGTGCTTCAAAACGAGCAACACCAAGAATTTAAGCACCAAAACGGAAACACCAACAAAACAAAAAACCGAAAATTGGGAAACGGGTATGAGAGAAAACCAAAGATTTTTCAATTACGTGGAAGAAGAAGGGCCGAAGAGAGGGTTCTCCTTCAAAGGTTGAAACGAGAACCTCCCAAGAAACCTTGCCTCGCACTTGCCCTCAATCCGAGAATTGTGCTTTGGACAATTGTTCACAAACATGACCACAAGGAACACACCAACGTTAGCCACAACGACCATGGGGACCAACCAAGAAGTCCATTGGGCCTCTGAGTCCTCTATCACATAAGAAGACGACGAGTAGCTCTGACTTGCTCTGTCTTTCACTCCTCTGTTTTCCACATCTTCAACTTCACCAGGCATTTTGTTCCTTCTTTGTTTTGTATGTTTATGGTGCTCTCTCTCTATAGGAATTGGGTTTGTGGCAGAGCAGATCCTGTGCAATTGTTCAGATGGAGTTGGTGGAAAGGTTTAATGGAATGGAGAGTGGCACAAACTAACTGCCACAGTCCCATCATGGTGTTACATAAGTTAAGTCTTAGTTTTGAACCAATGGTTCTCTTCCACGTCAACAGGCGCGTGCCATGTCACGTGAGTTTCTATGTGGCCAATTGGCAAGGGTGGTGTCGTGGCTTGGAATGATTGGGTAATGTGGTTTTTAAGCGTGTGAGCTATGAACCACTGGACTGTTGCTAAATATGCGCAGATTCTCTGTTTTCCGTTGTTTTCCACCAAGTCACTAACTAGAAGTTACCGTTTCGCTTTTTTTTTTTGGTAAAGAAACCGACACTCTGCCTTTTAAATGTGATCGGTTGCTTGCTTCAACGCGTTTTTAACTTTATAAACATGGAATATGAAAGGAAAGGAAGGGAACCAACCAAACAATAAAGCTGGATTTCTGTTCCTGGGGTCCAAGCAAAAGCTTTAGGAAGTTCAAACTTGAAAGAATAATATTTTGCAAAAAGACTCAATTATTTTCTTGACCTTTTTGCTCAACCCCAAATGAGACCATGATCTAGGCTCATTTCGAAAGTGAGCAGGATTCATACCACAAAAGAAGAAGAGATATATAATGCAACAGGGTAGGAGATAAAAGAGAACCGGATAATGCAATTCTGTTGCTTGCAAAATGGTCTCATCAAACCATTACCTAATTCTATTCCCTACGTCTGTACGCATGAAACATAGAGAGAGTAGTACATGATTCTTCTTTTCATTTAGTGACAGCTAATAGTTAACTAATACAAATTATGGTAGAGAGAGGAAAGGACAAAGAAGTGGTGAAGCTTGTACAAGGACAAGGAGGCATCGAAAGAAAGAACAGGATGGATTGGCTTCCTCATAATAAGATACGTACGTGGTGGAAGGTGAGACAGCTAAATCAATCATAATCTTTGTCAGAATGCATTAGTAAAAGTCTGTTGGTTGGTCTAAGTGTCAGACAATCGAGTTGAGGTTTTCGTGTGTTGCTTATACCCTACTACTTACCATCATGACAGTTTGTACATGCATTAGTAAAAGTCTGTTAGTTGGTCTAAGTGTCAGACAATCGAGTTGAGGTTTTCGTGTGTTGCTTATACCCTACTACTTACCATCATGACAGTTTGTACACTTTCTATGGCTCACTTCTGTTTCCTTTCTTTCTTCATCATTCTTTCTTGTAAAGACCCTTTGTTTCTGTCTGCCCATTTCTTCTAAAAGGGTTCAGAAACAAGAAACCTAAAGCTGAGGAAGCCAGAAGATTAATCATTCACAAATTGGTTTTCCTTTTTACCCATTCTAATCATTGTTAAAGTAGATTTACTTTTATTCTTTTCAATCAGTTTATGATCAACAGTAATATCAGAATTTCATGAAAGAAGAAAAGAATTTGTCACCCCACCCCCACCAGCCTTGGGACCCTTGGGTGCAGAACCCTTTGGCAAGTTGACTCTTTTCTTTTGTGACTTGGCCATTACCTCTGCCTTGTTTTCATCCTTAGTTTTCTTAATCCTCTCCTTAATTTCACTAGTTTTCTCAATCCTCTCCTTAATTTCACTGCACAATGCAAAGAACATACCGAAAGAGCTGCCTCTCTTGTTGCAGCATCTCGAACCTCAGGTTTCTCACTTCTTAACAGTTTCTGCAGCAATGTCCTTGTATTATTAATGCTGATACTGATGTTCATTTTCTACATCTTAAAATGATGCATCAGCACCAGAATGACGATCAAATACCGAAATATCCAACAAATATTAATCAGAAATTGGAACAACCGACCGACATATTAAAAATTAATATGTTCTTGGAAAATCAATACACTCGACTCGACAGAGCCAACTAACCAACCAAAGTAATCAATAAAACAACACATGCAACGTAGATTGGCATCTACCCACCATCATGAATTCATTCACATAACGAACACATCATTATGATCAGCTACGTGCGCATTCATCACATAACCATGAAATGAAAACCCACGTGCAAATTTCACTCTGTTTTAAATAATAACAGGACAGAGTTCATACATAAATTAATTAATTTTTATTTAAATAAACAGGGCAGAGTCTGAGAGTACCGTCTACCATGGCATGGCGGCAGTTTGTCACTCTGTTTCTGAGAAATACCACAAATGGTAAGTACATAAAATTATGGTTTCGTATTTCGCAGAGGGTTTTGACTTTTGACCCAAAAACAAAACAGAATATGTAGCGGAGGGTGGGCCATACTTGGACCGAAGAGGCCCACGTAAGCTGAGAACTTTATGGGCCCACGAACTCTTATTTTTTGTCAAAGCGGCAACATCTGACAGGTGGTACCAACTGTGAAACAGTGGGCTGGGCTTAAGGTTGCAAATAACAAAATGTGAACGAAAATAGTTTTTAGTTAGAACTAGTTAATAATAATAATATAGATAATAATTATTCTTTAGTTTTTCAGATTAAATATATATATATTTATTTAAAAGGAGTTTTAGATTCATTATTAAAATGGATAAGAATATAAGGGTATATTCGATATTTCCTATACAGATCCTCGCAAAGGTCTTGCTAGATTATGGATAGAAATGGATTCAATTTATCTAATCTTAATGAAGAAGCAAACTGATTGAGTGACCAAATATGGCAATTTGTATACGAGATTTTCTGTTTATTTTCCTTCCAAATAGGGAAAGTATATTAAATTACCAAGCATGGTAATTATGTAACCCGGTCTTTCAAGTTTTTAACATGACAATTTAAATCCAATTATGCTCCAACGCTGTATTTGTAAACTTTTTTTTTTTTTTTTTTAAAGAAAACTAATCTTTTGATGTATAACCAAAGAAAACAAAAATGTGATACCATATTCAAACATAATTAAAATATGTTGTTCAAACCCCCTTGCAAAACCTTCGCTATGCATTTGCTTTGAGAGCAACATCATAACATACTTTTTTTTGGGACATTTTCTATTGATATGGACGATAATATACTAAATGTATACACACTACACGAATATTAGGACTCTCCAAACTATTACACTGCTGAGTTCTTCACCGTAATACACTTTATATTCGACGTTGCAATCAATAATAATATGCCTTAAAATAGGAGACAAATCTTGTTCTTACATTAAATCATAATAACTATTATTTGAATACGAAATTATATAATGAGAGGAACATGATTCCGTTCATTAAAACCATGAATCAAATAGATAGATTCAGGTCTTATTTCCAAAGCTTAAATGTGTTGGATATAAATCTTATTAACTTGATATATATTTCAGCGAAGGCCATAGATTCACATTCAGCTGCAAATTAACTGAAACACAGGAGAAAAAGTTTCTATATTTCTTTACCAGTATAATTATGCAACAAAATTATTTAATTCAGAGCTTTAACCACAATAGTGAGCTCAATTATAAATAATTTATGACTCGCCCACGATAAATAATTTAATTTATAACACCTATGAAATCAAATGTGCAAAAAGTAGAGACTATGCACTAGAAGGCACTTGCCATTATAACCTTACTATATGACAATTTAAACCTAGCTAATATATTTCTGAACCAATTACCCCTAAGTCTCGATGACACATGAAACTTTAATATCTATTTTGTATACTTCTTGTTTTTTGAGTATGTGATGAATTTGAAAGTGTAAATAATTTACAAAAATTCTAAATGGCTCAATAAATTGTAATAATATTTCACCAAGCAGTTGTCAAATTTTCCAGGTTAACGGGCCGAGGGCCCACTCCAACAACACCGATACTGTCCCCACTTTACCACCTGCACAATCCTCAGGTGTGGGATTTTATCACAAAAGGCCTCGGTATTAGTTGGAGTGGGGTAATTCTATTTAAAGTACTCTTTCTCCTTCCCTCTCTCCGATGTGGGACACAATTGGTTTCAACACTCCCCCGCACGTGAGACCCCATTTTGTGGGTCACACATGGAGATCCACACATCGGCAACCACGTGGAGCCATGTAGGGACTCACCCATCGCGCGGGGCCAAACGGGGACCCACCCATCACGTGGCACCTTTGGCCTACGTTGAGCCAAATGGGGACTCACCCATCGCACGGGGCCAAACGGGGACCCACCCATCACGTGGCAAGTACGGGCCCGCAACCTGGCTCTGATACCATGTCAAATTTTCCAGGTTAACGGGCCGAGGGCCCACTCCAACAACACCGATACTGTCCCCACTTTACCACCTGCACAATCCTCAGGTGTGGGATTTTATCACAAAAGGCCTCGGTATTAGTTGGAGTGGGGTAATTCTATTTAAAGTACTCTTTCTCCTTCCCTCTCTCCGATGTGGGACACAATTGGTTTCAACAGCAGTGTCATGCCACACACATGGTTATGTGCTCATTGTGGTAGATATAGACCTACTACAACTTTATACAATTTCCCAAAGACAATGCACGTGCCTCGCATGTGCAATGCAATAAGACTTGAAGTAGAAAATGAGAAAATGAAGTACATAAAATGAGCATGCGCAATTTATTGTAAGACGAAAAATGGAAACCGATTAAAAGGCAAAACAATAGTTATTTTATACCATCTTTAAGAAACGGTCTCTTAATAACATTACTAGTATTACTTTGTGTACATTCAATCTATATCTAGGAAAATAAGTAGGTCAGTTATTGCGGATACGAAAGAAATTTATGTGTTTTACTACAAATTTTCTAATTCAGAAATTTGGTGTTTATTGATGAATTAATTGAAAAAAAAAGCTAATAGAAATGTTAGACAAGTTCAAAATTAATTAATTAGTAGAAAAGTATTTTGTGTGTGTCTTTTTTTTATTTAAATATTGTTCTTAAAAATACCCAAATACAAAAATAGAGGAAACTGGACATGAGTGGATATTGTAATTTTTGAAAGATGAAGGGTATATTGTGAAATAACAAGAATACTAGGGGAAGCCACATCCAGTAATAAAAGGCAGTGATGTCATACATACAGGCTATAGCAACCAAAGTACCAAACCCTGCAGTATAGGTGGGC